ATGAAGGACACAAGCATGTGGGCGAGTTGGGAGGATAAAACGGAGCGTATATGTTTGTTTGAGACATTTAGAACAGGGGTAGGAGGCTCCCCATCACCTCAACTATTATTCAAAATAAATTTTGAATAAATGAAAGATATTTGTAGAAATTGAGTCCCAAAACTATTTTGTGTGTCAAACGATGTACACAAAAATATTTGAATAAAATATTTTTACTTACCAAAAATATTTTATAATATCAAAATAAATATTTGATAAATGTTTGGCACACCTTTTGTAACTGACTCAATAAAACTATTTTGAACAGTTAAAAGATTTTTCAACTGACTCCAAAAAATAAATATAATTTTTATTTTAACACTCATAAAATTAATTTTGGAGAGAAGATATTTTTGTCATCCTTACAAAAATTCCTAAGACTCAAATAAATAAAAAGTCTTTGGAAATCTTCTACTCCTCCGGGTCCTCCGTTAGGCGCTCCGAACGCGTCTCGGACTCCAAAAAATCCTGTGCACCTTTTTGAATACTTCAAAGAATGGCACTTCAAGTCTTCGTGTTTGTCGTTGTAGCACTTTGATCTTGACTTGAATAAATTGTGTTTGTCAATTATCAAAACCTGTGAGTCAACACTTAACAACACAAAAAGGGTTGAACTCATGCATTCCAACAATTGAGACACTCTTCAAATGATTCCCCAATGATGGAGAAATCATCCATAAAGACTTCCATGAAATCGCCAATAAATTTCTCAAAGATTGCGATCATACATCTCATGAAGGTGGCAGGGGCATTACATAAACCAAAGGGTCAATTTAAGTCTTGTATTTTTCCCTTTGATATTTTCGGCCATCCCAATTTAAAAGCATATTACATTTTATTTTGACATCAATAATTATCATATTATTAAAATGATGAAAATTAAAATTATATATATATATATATATATATATACACACACACATTCGGTGCAACATATATATATATATATAATAAAATTTGTTTTGTCAAAATATAATTATCATATAATTAAAATGACACAGACAAAATATAATTTTAAAATACATATGTATTTTCGAAATACATATATATGTATAAAATTATCACAACTATATATTTAATATTACTCCCACTAGTGTAGTATACTACTCCCTTACAAGTTCTAAGTGTGTGACCCTTTAGGGATCCATAATACTGGCAATGATATTAATAAAATTAATACCATAGATAATAAGCGGTATCTAGCAACACATTATTACCCCCAGATTATGAAAAAGACGTTCATCTCATCAATACCTTCTACGACACAAGACGTTCTATAACTATTATCCTTCTGTCCTAAATGTCATGATTTAACACAAGGCATGGGATGTGTATCCTTGTAAAGTTAAATCAGCTGTTACTGAATCTCAAGTAGACTGGTAGGGATCAGATATTTATCAGTCTCTGGATAGCGACATATCTGGGCATGGCCATGCACTTTCCCAAGTCCTACTATTCAGTGGGCCCATTGACATTATACTTCTATACAGTAGAAGGGACAGATCCTGTATCTGTTATTCACATCTCCTAATATGCTTAGCGGTATACCCTACGCATAACTGTACGTCTACCAGTATTTCAGATAGAATTAGTTGTGAATCAAAGTATACGGCCCCACATATCAGAGAATGTAATAACTTCAAGTCTAAGGATAGATATAGCAAGGTCGAATTGAGAATACTGATAAACACATTACTGTAGATCCATGCAATTTTCTCAAGATGGGTCAATCCAGTCACATATTATCGATATAATATGCACCTACGTACAGATTAAGATATCACAATACCTATAGTCTATGAGACGCAACTATCTCATCTCGTACGTACTAGTCTTGATACGTTATGATGTCCGTATTATCATAAAGTGCGACTAGGAATATTTTAGACATAGCCTTCGTCAAGAAGTAACAGTCTCATAATCAGAACATCGTAGTCCTCATCTATGTTACTGAAGCACTATCGTCTATGGACTGAAGCTATGTTATGTTACACGAGATATAAAACATACTTCAGAGCCTTTCATTCATGATAAAGTGTACTGTTACATAGGTATTTGATTGCCGCTAGGGCACCTAAATACAACAAGGGCATGTTTAAAATGCATGTCTTTAATAGAACAAGGGATAGAGAACCTACCTGGATCCTTGCATTTTTCAGGCATGTGCTGGAGTAACAACGCGGAACAGCTTGCGTTGAGATTGATCACTGGAAGTTCCTCCCAGTCCCTTTTATGTGTGACCAAGTCTTTCAAGAACTTGGTGTACTTTGGCATCTCGTCAAGACATCGACTAAGGGCAATTTGACTTCAACTTGGCCCATGATGTCTAAGAACTTCTTGAAGGCTTTTTCATCTTTGCTTTTCTTTACCCTTGAAGGAAAGGGTATGGTCACCTTCTTTGGCGGGAGATCGCCATTTGGATGTTGGGACTGGAAAGGTTCTTCGTCCTTCTTTTCTTCCGTATTCTTTTCAGTTGGCTCATTGGCTGGTTCACCCACATAATCCTTCAGAGTTGGTTCAGAACTCTGGCCAATGCCCTTCGTTTCCTTCCCACTTCGCAAGGTAACAACCTTGAGGTGTTCTCGTGGGTTGTTTTCAGTTTTGGCCGGCAGAGTTTCTGGAGGTCGGATCGTCATTTTGTTTTATCTTTTATTCCAGGAGATTAAAAAAAGGCATTTGAGCTCTGATTCTTCCTGTCAAGCAGATTCAGATGTAGACATAGATGTTGATTTGATAACAACTGATTTTTTGAACGAATATCAAGTGTTCTGAGATTCTAAACCACAGAATTGTTTTGAAGAAAGGAGTACCAATTATGTTATTAAGAAACATTGATCAAACATTTGGGTTGTGTAATGATACAAGGTTAATAGTTGAAGATTTGCGAAGAAACGTTATCGGTGCAATTGTTGTATCAGGAAACAATGCCGATGAGAAAGTTTACTTACTAAGAAAGAATTTGGTTACCGTTTAAGTTTCAAAGAAGACAATTTCCAATATCTTTATGTTTTGGCATGACGATCAATAAGAGTCAAGGCCAAACATTATCATTTGTTGGATTATTCTTGACCAAATCGGTATTCACTCACGGTCAACTTTATGTTGCAGTTTCACGAGTCAAGAATAAGAAAGGATTGAAAGTGTTAGTTTTAGATGACAACGGCGACGACCCTTGCAATTTCACCCAAAATGTGGTTTACTCTAAAGTTTTTCAAAAAAAATTTGGATTTAGTCAATGCACTTATACATTTTCTCAATTTTTATATACATGAATTTTAGTTAGTATACTCTCTTTATGTCGTATCATTCATTATACTTCTAACATTGTATATTATATTTAGCTATATTTTTAACCTTTTACTAAAACTAAAAATTTAACAGAGTTAAAAATAACATGTGTTCGACCCCGTGCGTTGCACGGGTTAAATACTAGTATTTCTAAATAGGCCAAACTAATATTAAAAAAGTAATCGGATTGATCCGATCCGAAAATTCGGATATCCAAAAATTTCGGATCATGTAAAAGTCATTCCATATCTGATCCGAAAATATTCGGATATCCAAAATTCGGATATCCGATTTTTCGGATCGGATCACTAGATTATCCGAAAAGTTGAGTTTTAGCCAAAATTTACAAAAAAAAACGTAAAACATCAAAATTAACCCAAAATATCAAATTCAATATAGATTTACTAAAAGAAAAATTCCACCACTAAGTAATGACCTAATAAAAAATGATACCAAATTTATTTTGGGAGTAACTTTTGCAATTTTGCCTAAACAAACAAAAAAACATTATTAGAACAAAAGATTCTAAAATGCTAATGCAAAAAGTCCAAAATGGTTGTGTTTCAAAATCAACATAAAATTACATTTAAACATATAGTCATAATATATATCCATAAAATTCCAAAAATATATAGCAAAAAAAAAATCGAATATCCGATTATCCAAAAAATTCTAGAAATTGAATCCATATCTGATCCGATTTTTTTCGGATATCCGATCCGAAATATCCGAAAGCTAAAATATCGGATCGGATATCCATTTTTCGAATCGGATTGGGCCAAATCGTGGACGGATATTTCGGAAGGGATATTTTTGAACACCTACTAACAGCAATCTAATTGGGTTTGCCGCCTAACATCCGTTTTCCGATTGTTACGGAAAATTTTGGTGAAAATCTCTCATCTTACTTCAATTCTCTTCTCAGATTCACAATCCTTGCCTGGGTACAAGATCGAGCTCCGTCAGCCACTTCTCTTCTCTTCTCAGATTCACAATCCCTGCGTACAACAGCTCTTTCAGCCACTCCTTCCGACCAGAGACATTTTTCGATTGTTTTTCCTGGTGTTTCTAGGGATTCGACCAGAGTGACACCGCCACTCGTTTCCCTGCCTTTAACTTACTCTCAATTCCAGGTAATTTTACTTCCCAAATCATTTTATAATTTTTAATTTTCCCCCAGTGTGATGAGTTTGGTTAATTTTCTCACGAGGGTTTGACTGGTTTGAGCATCTAATCGCCTTTCTAATTCAACGATTCCTCTCAATTCCAGGTAATTTTCCTTCCCAAATCATGTTATAATGTTTAATTTTCCCCCAGTATGATGAGTTTGGTTAATTTTCTCACGAGGGTTTGTGATACAGGCCACGTGTGTGTGTGGTTAGAAACGGTTAGTCAGTTAGCTAATAACAGGCCTTTATATACTTGTATTGATAAGGGAGATGAAATAAGAAGATATTTTTGGTCTTTCTCTTCCACATACTCTCGTTTCTCTCTCTAGAATCTGTGATCAGGGTCCATCTCTGATCTTTTGCGCTCATCCTCGAGGATTCTTCTCCATTTCCGAATCCTCCTGCATTGAGCGTCATCAGTGGTATCAGAGCACGATTTCATCCTGGCCAGAACACGGAATCAATCCAGATCTGAGCAAGAACCGAACATGGAGATCAACCAGAACAATCAACTGAAGATTATACTCGAGCAACAACTGGCGTCTCAAAATCAGAAGATCGAGGAGATTAGGGCGGAGCAGCAGAATATGTTTGAAAAGATGATGGAGTTGCTTGAGAAATCAAGCCGCAATGAAAATAGATCGTCTTCAGAGGTCATCGGCAATGAAGGAGGTGACAGAACTGCTTTTAAATTTCTGCCTAAACTTGAATTTCCTTCATTCAATGGTTCTAACCCTAGAAATTGGGTAAAGAAATGCACACGATATTTCAATCTGTGTAAGATACCTGAAAATCAGAAAATGGATGTGGCGTCAATCCATTTGACAGGGAAGGCTGAGATGTGGTTTGCTAGTTATATTGCTGTCAAAAAAAGAGTAGAATGGGATGACTTTATCATTGATGTATGTGGAAGGTTCAAAGAAGAACTTGACAGTAAACTAGTGGAAGAATTCAATAAATTGAATCAAACTGGGACAATTGAGGAATATTTGGAGAGATTTGAAGAGCTAAAGTCATTAATGTTGCAGAAAACTCCAGTTTTACCTGATGATTATTTTGTGGATAGTTTTGTGGGAGGCCTGAAGCCACACCTGAAGGCATTTGTGAAGGCACTAAAACCTCTAACCATTGATGATGCTGTGCAATTTGCTAGATTACAGGAAGAATCTGTGCAAGCAGTTAGAGACACTCCTAAGGCGCAAGTAACACGAAACACAACTGGTCTTCTACCCACACCAAGGGGAAATACTAGTTTCAAAGGTGGTAGTGCATTCTCAGACTATAGAAGTCATGGCAATTCTCAAAACTCCACAACTGATAGTACTACTTCATCAAGTAGTACAGCAAGGAGTTTTAGACCTACTAAGGTCTTGACAGCTGCTGAAAGGGCAGAAAAAAGCGCAAAGGGGCTGTGTTACTTTTGTGATCAACCTTATGAGAAAGGTCACAGGTGCCAAAGCAAGAAAACTCAACTGTTTTTGGTAGAAATCCCTGGGGATGAGTTGGAAGTTGACACAGAAGATAAAGATATTTCTGAAGAGGACAGGGACTTTGAGTTGCTGGAGATAGAACCTTGTATTTCATTTCACGCAGTCAATGGAATCACAGGTTACCAAACTATGAGAGTTACTGGACATTTTGGTAAGAAGGCCATTCAGATTCTGGTGGATTCTGGCAGTACTCACAATTTCCTGGATGTTGGTTTGGCTAAAAGGTTGGGGTGCAAGCTGGAACCCATATCACTACAACCAGTCACTGTGGCTGATGGAAGTACACTAAAGTGTCAATATAAGTGCAGAAATTTCAAATGGAAGCTACAAGGAACTGAATTTTGTGCAGATGTGTTTCTCATTCCTTTAGGAAGTTGTGACATGGTGTTGGGAATCCAGTGGTTGAGTACTTTGGGCACCATTAAGTGGAACTTCAAGAATCTACACATGCAGTTTGAATTCCAGGGAAAGGGGCATGTACTGAGAGGGTTACAATTAGAAGAATCACAATTGCCTAAGGAAATGGAAGAGGCTTGCCACCTATGTATGTTACAAGTAAGATGTGCAGAGGAACGGAAGAACCAATCTGGACAAGGAGGAGAATGGAACTGTCTGAGCTCCAGCACAACGACCATACCTCCATTAATTTATGAATTATTGTTGCAATATGAGGATTTGTTTGAAGAACCTACTGGTCTGCCACCAAACAGGGGGTTATATGATCACAGGATACCCTTAAAACAAGGAGCCACCCCAATAAGCATCAGACCTTATAGGTATGCGCTCAGACAAAAGGACGTCATTGAAAAGTTGATTGATGAAATGCTAGAAAAAGGGATAATTCAGCCTAGCTGTAGTCCTTTTGCCTTTCCAGTAGTCTTAGTGGGAAAGAAGGATGGAACTTGGAGACTATGTGTGGATTATAGGGAACTAAACAAGCAGACTATTAAAGACAAGTTCCCTATCCCTTTAGTAGAGGAGCTCATGGATGAACTAGCTGGTGCTACGGTGTTCAGTAAAATTGATCTAAGGTCAGGGTATCAC